GGGGGGGGCGGGAGGGCATAGCAGGATCGGGGAGGAGGGGGAGAAAGAGGCAGCTGAGGAGGAGGAGGAGGAGGAGGAAAACGAGGAGGAGGAGGAAGAATAGGAGGAGAGGGGTCCGAGGAGAGAAGGGCAGGAGGAGGAGGAGGAGGAGGAGGAAAACAAGGAGGAGGAGTAGGAGGAGGAGGAATAGGAGGAGGGGGTCCGAGGAGAGAAGGGGAGGAGGAGGAGGAGGAGGAGGAGGAGGAGGAGGAGAAGCAGGAGGAGGAGGAGGAGGAGGAGGAGGAGGAAGAGGAGGAGGAGCAGGAGCAGGAGGAGGAGGAGGAGGAGGAGGACCAGGATCGCGCTCGGCCGAAAGCGGAGTCTGCCGCGAGCGACCGACTCCACACGGCCAACGGGCGCCGCGGAACTGCGGCTGAAGCGCCGCCGCGGCGGACGCACAGCCCACGGCCTCACGAGGCCGACGGCGAGAAGCTCCCGAAGCCGATGTCCAGGAACTGAGGCCTACCCCCTCGCCCCGCAGGGGACAGGAAGTCGCCGAAGACGACCCGCACGAGCAGTGGCCTGCCCCCTGGCCGCGCAGGGGTGGCGGAGCCACCGCGCCCGAGGTTCAGGAGCCATACGATGTGCAAGCCTGGTGGCCACCGCTCTCATGGGCTTGACGTGCGGCCGAAGCCCTCGCCGCGCCGGGAGCGGGTACAAACCGAACTCGTCGGTCTTCGGCTACACGCAGGAGTAACCCTGGGTAAGAGTGACCTTTGGTGCGCGGCTTTCTGGGGGCCGCGGGGGGACCAAACCTGGGCGCGCAAAACGTTGCTCCTGCTTCGTTTCCAACCATCTGGGGACCCATCTGTGCCCGCACCAAAAGGTCACTCATGCGAAAGGTCACTCTTACGTCTAGTCGAGGTCTGCAACCCAAATACACTCCGGTGCTTGGGTGCTTCTGGTCCATGGCCCGCTTGGTGGCGGACTTCTGGCCAGCGCGCGTGTGGATCTTCAGACGGTCCAGGACACTCCGCGTTCAAGACCACCACCCTGCCGCCGCTAGCACGAAATCTGGCACGCCTCTTGCAAAGTGGAATTGGCCCGAACACGCAAGGCGAATGCCCGAGACTCCGAAAGTGCCTGAGTGCGGCTGGCTCGGATGGCCTCGACGCCAACTCTTCCTCACTGGGCAGCTCGTTCGCAGGCACGAATTGAGGGCGATCGCGGAAGACAAAACAAAAACAGTCCGCGGCCCAGCACACGACCCCGGTCGGCCCGCGATATCTGAACTTCTCCTTTGTGCGCAGACTCCGTAGTGCATGTCAGTCCGCGCCGCAGCATTGCACTTCATGCATCTCCAGCATCGGGGGTACGCCTGGGGCTGGATCGTGCCAGAAGTCGTGGTACTCGATGTTCGCGGCTGGCACATTTGCAGTGACGACTTTGGCGGTGTCGCTCTTGTCCAGCTTCTGCGCCCACTCGGCATGTCCTTGCGCCAGCTGCGATAGCATCGCAATCGCATCCACCGAATGCTCGAACTTCATCTTGCAATCCCGAACAAAGCTTTCCGATCAGGCTACGTCGTCTTTCCCCAAACCTGTGAAGAAATCAGCCCACCGGTTGCCAATCCAGTCGATGAGGTCGCAACCCTTCTCCACGGCCTGGTCGTACGACAGATAAGATTCTTGCCACAGGAACGTATGAAACCTCTCGCCCTTTGTGAGTTCCACCATCTTCCGCTCAAGACCTGCATGCTTAGCCCGCCGTATCTCGCTCTACAAGGCCAACCTTAACTGTCAAGCTCCACCACCAACCATCCGCTCCTCCTGCACCCGGGGAAGTTGAAACAGGACGCCGATCCGTCGGTGTAGACTTGAGTGCACCAGCTCGTAGCCCTGCTCGTGCAAAACTGAGAAGCCCACGATGGCGTGCCTCGACCAGACGACCGAGACAGAGGTCGGGCAGGGTCGCGAGTTCACCTCGACTCCACCCCGTCTCCGCTTGGCACGCAGCCGCCTAGCGGAGCCTGCTCGATGTACTTGGACGCCGACGCCGCAGTAGTCAACGTAGCAGATCACGAAGCACCTGTACCTGAGCCCCTTGCCGCAGGAACCCTGGCCCATGATGCAGCCTGGTCGGTCGCCCGGTTATCATCTGGGCTTGGTCTACGAGGTCGCGGTTGTGGCACTCTATCTCCAAGAGGAGCAGGAGGAGGAGGAGGAAGAGGAGGAGGAGGAGGAGAAGGAGCGGGTTCGCGGAGGGAGGGTGAAGGAAAGAAGGAGAACGAGGAGGGCTGTCCTCCTCTTTCTCCTCCTCCTCCTCCTCCTCCTCCTAATTATGCCTCCTCCTCCCCCTACTGCACTGCAGATCCATGTGCGGCTCCACCTCTTTCTCCTCCTCCTCCTGCTTTTCCTTCTCCTCCTCCTCCTCCTCCTCCGCCTCCTCCTCCTCTTCCTCCTGCTCCTGCTGCTCCTCCTCCTCCTCTCCTTCTCCTTCCTCCTCCTCCTCCTCCTCCTCCTCCTCCTCCTCCTCTCCTTTTCCTTCTCTTCCTCCTTCTTCCCCTCCTCTCGCCCTACCTCCCCTCCTTCTCCCCCTCTTAACGCTGTACGGGCGAAAGCTGTGGATCCTTCTCCCCCTCCCCGTCCCCTCCTTCCCCAGCCTCCCCCCGCTCCCCCTCCCACACGTCTTCTGCACTGCGTGGGTGCATTCCCCCTCGTCGCACGCCCACGCGTGCCAGCACGGCGGGCCGGGCGTGTCGCCGGACGCTCCCTCACCACTCGTTGCCCTTGTGACACTGCGGCTTCCGACTGGGCCGCGCGCGGCCCGTCTTGTGAAAGCGTCGGCCAGCTACGAGGATCATGGGCGGATGAGGCTCAAGTGTGGCTGTCGAAATAGCGCCGCGCACATTCGTCTTCAAGGTGTCCAGCAGCTGCGAGAATGGAGCGCGCGTCCTTCCCAACATGCGGCTCCCGCTCCAACGCCGCGCACAGTCGTCGCACGTAAACGTTTCGTACAACTACTAGGGTGGCGGCGGCTCCTTTTCCAAAATGGGGCTTTCGCTCAAGACCTCCTCCAACATAGCTCTGAGAGCGTGTAACTGTACAACAATGGCACGCATGGGGAGCGGCCCGTCTTCAAACCGTGACCCTCGCTCGCAACACGGGGGATTCCGGTGGCCTCTCCCCCCGCGAAGGTTGGGAGAGCCGTCGTCGCGGGGATCGCCTTCGGGGGATCTCCTCGTGGGGCCATACAGCATGCGCATGGTGCGTCGACGTGGGGCTGGGCCCTTCGTGGGCCCTGGGAACGACAGGGCCGCTATTTTACCAGTTCCGCTCTGCCGTTTTGTTTGCCGGTTCCGACGCCGCTGTTTTACCGGTGCCGTCGCCGTTTTTGACCGGTTCCGGCTCCGGTTCCAATCCTGGAGCCGTTTTTGTTGCCGTTGCCGGTCGCCGCTTTTGTTGCCGTTTCCACTTTCAAGGGGCATTTTTGGGGAAACGGTGAGAAAACGGCCCTGCCGTTTCCGGGGCCCACAAAAGGCTGGGCCGCCATGCTGGCGCTGCCGCTGTGGTTTCCTTTGGCACCCACGACGGGGCCGCGAAGCGGGGCCTCGGGTGGACCTCCCTGCGGGGCCACGGAGCGCGGCACGCGGGCCGCGAAGCGCTTCGGCCTCGGTGGGGCTCCCAATGGGGCCGCGAAGCGTGCGAGGGGAGGGTGATGACGATGACGATGACGATGACGATGACGATGACGATGACGATGACGATGACGATGATGATGATGATGATGATGATGATGATGATGATGATGATGACGATGATAATGGTGATGGTGATGGTGATGACGATGATGATGGTGATAATGGTGATGATGATGATGATGATGATGATGATGATGATGGTGATGGTGATGGTGATGGTGATGGTGATGATGATGATGATGATGATGATGATGATGATGATGATGATGATGGTGATGGTGATGGTGATGGTGATGGTGATGATGCTGATGCTGACGATGACGATGATGCGCAAGGTCGAAACAGGGGCGGGTCGAGGAGGAGAGGGAAGAAGGAGGAGGAGGAGGACAAGAAGCTGAGAGCATAGCGGAGCCGACATCATTGATTTGACCATGGTGTTGGTCACATGTTGGCCTCCTTGGCGGGGAACATAATCGGGGAGAGCCTCTCCGTTGATGGATCTCCTTTCAAATGGCCCCAAGATGGCCCCAGAGGCTCCCAAGGGTGCCCCAAGACAGCCTCAAGCGGGGCCCAGGAGGCCCCAAGAGGCCCGCCCCCTAGAGGCCCCCACGAGACCCCCAAGAGACGCCCGGGAGGCTTCCAAGGCGCCTCAAGAGACCTCGGCGAGAATACCAAAACCATTGATTTTACAAAAAAGTGCTGGACACACTTTGGCCTCCTGGGGGGGAGGGACCCTGATTCAGAAGCCATCCTTCTTTGACCGGTCTCCTCCAAGGTGGCCCCAAGATTGCTCTCGAGGCTCCCAAGGGTGAGCAAAGACAGCCCCAAGAGGTGCCCTAGAGAACCTAAGAGGCCCCCAAAGGCCCCCAAGATGCCCGCAAGAGGCCCCCAAGAGACCTCCAAGAGGCCCCCAAGAGGCCCCAAGAGGCCCCCGAGAGGCACCCAAGACACCCCAAGAGGCCTCGGCGAAACACCAAAATCATTAATTTCAGCATAGTTGTTGCCACTTGTTGGCCTCCTGGGAAAGAACACTAATGTACTACGACCCCTCCTTGATTTCGATCTCCTCCTAGATGGCCCCCGAGACTCCACAGGGTACCCCAAGACGGCCCCGAGAGGTGCCCTGGCGGCCCCAAGAGGCCCCCCAGATACCCCTGAGAGCCCCAAGAACCCCAAGAGGCCCCCCAGAGGAACCCCCAAGACACCCAAGAGGCCCCCAGGATTGCCAAGAGAACCCCAAGACACCCCAAAAGGACCCCACGAAACTCCCGGAAGAAGTCCGAAGAGACTGCGGGAGGCATCCCAGAGGCTTCTGGCCTCCCTGTTCGCCTTCCTCCTCCTCCTCCTCCTCCTCCTCCTCCTCCTCCTCCTCCTCCTCCTCCTCATCATCATCATCATCATCATCATCATCATCATCATCCGCCTGTTCCTCATCCTTCCTCCTCCCTTCTGCCCCTCCCACTATCACTCCTCCTCCGCCGTCTCCTGCTCCTCCGATTCCTCTTCCACCCTCCCTCCTCTTGGGGTAGGACGCCTTGTCCAACCCTGGATTCCACGACATGTTCCTCCACACACCCCCTAATCAGAGCAACTCGTCCGGGCATCGTATCTGGATGCGCTGTTGGGGTTACTTTTTGATCGCGAGCGTAGCGGAACTCCGAACGCCGCCCGAAAGTCGCAACAAACTAGCTCCGGCCGACATTTACAGGAGGGAGAAAGAGAGACAACGAAGGAACAGCGGAAGGAGAGACAAACAGGAGGCGGGCCTTCGCCTGGGGGGGGAGCCGCCAGCCGGTTTGCATCGCCAAAGTGGCGGAGGGGAATTCAGGTTGAGCGATTCCGCGAGCATGCCAGTAGCCTGTGTTGGATAACGCTTGGCCGCAGCAGGAAAGGCCTGGCGCCTCCTTGAGCTGCGAATCACGGCGGCGCCGCGCCAGCAGCGAATGGGAGGGCCGCGCGCCTCTGAGCTGCCTGCCCACGGCGCAAGTGCGCTGCGGGTGAGCTGGCCAAGACGGCACAGCGAGCCCTCGGGCTACTTAGCGTACTCACCGGCCAACACGTCGTGTAGGCGCACAACGAAAGCTGGTGGGGTTCCTTTTTTTTTACAGCCGCAGGCGGAAGCGCCAGCGGCGGGAGGTCGCGAACGGGCCGCGGACGCGACTAAATTACCTAACGCGCGCGGGGCCGCGGATCAGGCGGCTCACGACAGCGTCCAGGGCGGCGAGGCCGATGCAATCCAGGAGCCAAAGACAGCCCCTGAACGGGCATGCAGCAGTGCGTCCAACGGGCCTGGGGTAGGCACCGATGAGACCAAGCGCAGCCAAAATGGCGCGAGGCGTTCCCAACGTCCAGGTGCGAACGAAAGGAAAGTGCCCGAGGACGACGACCAAGCCTGACGGGTAGCACAGACGAATGGAGACGTAAGTCCAGCGAAGATCCCGACGGCGGCAACGCGCCGCGACGCCGAAACGGCATCAAAGTGTGAAAATGTTGCCAAGAAACTTCCACACCGAGATGCTTCAGCCCAGACCCAGCAGGTGGGAGGGCGCCTGATGCACGCTACACGCTCGAAACGCGGCGCGTGCGCATCACAGTGTCTCAGTGCTGTCCAGAACGAGCCGGAGAGCACACGCGGGACAAGCGTATACCCAGGCAAGTCCGTCAAAACCACTGATCCAGGGTCACGGCGGAAAGCCGTCCAGCATTGAATTCCCGAGGACACCGTTCCAGGGAGCCTGACGGGTACCACAGACTGACTGGGGACAAGGTCCAGCGGAAAAAGCTGACGGCGAACCAGGTCGCGACGCAAGAAAGCGCATCCAGGGTGTTGAGCATGATGACCAGAGTACCTTCCACAACTGAGATGCGACAGCCCAGATCCGACGAGTGGAAGGGCGTCGACGTGCACGATACACGGCAGACCCCGAGGAGCATGCACAACTAAGGTGTCTCAGCGCTACCCAACCGAGTCGTCTAGCACCAGAGGGACGAGAACGCCTTGTACCCAAGACGCGTCCCTCCGAGCCACTTGGATCCAAGGTGACGGCGGAAGGCCGTGCTGCTTGTTTACTCAGTGCTGTCCAGAACGAGCCGGAGAGCACACGCGGCACGAAACCGCGTATACCCAGGCAAGTCCGTCAAAGCCACTGATCCAGGGTCACGGCGGAAGGCCGTCCAGCATTGAGAATTCCCGAGGACAACGATCCAGGGAGCCTGACGGGTACCACAGACTGACTGGGGACAAAGGTCCAGCGGGAAAAGCTGACGGCGAACCAGTCGCGACGCAAGAAAGCGCATCCAGGGTGTGGAGCATGATGACCAGAGTACCTTCCACAACAGAGATGCGACAGCCCAGATCCGACGAGTGGAAGGGCGTCGAAGTGCACGATACACGGCAGACCCCGAGGAGTATGCACA